CGGCTCGACGTGCAGGAGAAGGAATGGGGTGGTTTTAAGTCAGTAAGAGTCTGACACTCCCTCCCGCCTCACCCAGGCGGGAGCAGTCATTTGACGATTTTTCCGCCTTAAAAAAACCATTCCGGTATAATACAGACATATAAGACAATACAGATATGACAGTTTGTCAATTTAATAAATTTTATCAAATTAAGATCATATTTTCGTCCGAATAGTGGTTGACGCCTAGGAATCGTATTACTGTTTATGTTTTATCTGCCAGAAGTGAAATATCTATAAAAAACGATTTTATGTCTTAAATAAGGATTGTTTATATTGCACATATTATAGGTTAGTTTTGGATTTTATTTAGTTGGTACTGCCGACCTGCGGCGCCCTCGTTGATTTTAATTAATAAATAGACAAACTGTATGTATGTAGATAAATTATTCAATAGATAAATTAATATTTCAAAATCATTTAGCTTTAGTTTATTTAAGTTTTTTGCGCTGCGCTGCGCCATAGGCTTTTTTGTGTGTTCCTAAATTTTTGTTGTGCGTCGTAGCAAAATAAATGGTTTTCTTTATTTCTTTCTTTCTTAAGTTGCAATAAAACGGGTTGAATAGAATTCGAGGGGTGAATATAGATAGATAGAAGAGGGTGAAATATATTAAAATATTAGTTTTCTCGTTTATATTCACCTCGTTTTACCCGGTACATAAAATAACATAGTGAGTTAGTTCTCATAAAGTGCACATAAAAATAAGAAAATCTTTGATTAGGTTTCGTCGAATAAATTGTAAAAAATCTAGGTCTTTTCACAAATTTAATTTATATTCCTATAAAATAATCATAACGATTGAAAACAATAAGGTATCCTTATATTCTCAAAATTAAGGAAAGTCTCACCGTCAATAAAAAGAACATGTTTTTTTTTTTAATAAAACATGAACGATAAAATTATAAAATCAAGAATATTTAATGTTAAATTCGATAAAAAAATATTTTTCTCTATTTTTTCCTTCAATAAAATCAAGCACAGATTTCCTCATTTTCATGTTATGTTAATGTGCACTTAACGAAGACTGTAGTGTATAATATCTAGTATCTACTAGTCTAGGAATGAATGATGAATAGAAATTAGCTTGTTACTTGGTATCTGGATCTGGTGGAACCGGTATCGAATATAAATAGGCTTAACAGGTTTAATAACTTTTTCTAATTATTTACATAAAAGTTGTACATTACCTTATCTGCATTTTCAGAGATACTTTAGAATTAGAAGCTTCGGAAAAAACCACTTGAATTATTATAATAAATGTAATATCATTAGAAGGCTAACTACTTAGGTGTATTAGGGTGCGTCCACATCTGGCGAATGTGCGGCAAATGTGCAACTCGCGAGCCATTTGCGAGCTGCCTACGAGTTGCACGCGTGCAGTCACCGCAATGGTTTGGTGCACCTCTTTAGTGCAACTCATACAAGGATCGTATAAATAATAAAAATGCACGCGCGCCGCTCGGGGGCAATCGCCAGTCGATAATTTTGTCAGGTGAGGACGCACCCTTAGATTCAATTTTAAAGACTAGCTTTTGGCCGCGATTTCATTCACTTGGAATTTCGATAAAAAATTTACAGTCTTTTTAATGAGTACGTTTTTTATATAAGCAGCTTACATCACAATATAGAGGTACTATTATGGTTATATTAGTTAACACGTGTAGAAGTTTTTTTTTCGTTTTGTACACCTACACGTGGATTAACTGTTAACCATGAGTTCAGGTTAAATTTTATGAGGTTCAATGAGAATAAAATATTAAAACAATGGGAACGAAACTTATGTTTATCTCTGTAATGTATTTATTACATAATAATAATAACAACAAAACAACACAATTAACATAAAAAAATGAATAAAATACTTAGTTTAATTCATAAGGTTAATTATAATTATTAATAGGAAAGATATTGCGTTGACGCGTATTTTGTATGTATATACGTAAAAATAATTATGTGTGTAGGTATGTATTTATGAGACTAATATACTAAATTACCTCATATCCTGTAAACCACTCCACCGATCTAGACATGTAATATATGTTTTTTTTTCTAGATTTTAAATACGTCTCTATAACCCCAGTGTCCGTATACATAATACATATATACCTATGACATTAAAAACACCAAAATGGGTATTTTCAAACTTGCCAACATGACGGTTATCAAACGTTCGCAGTTTTTTTAGAATTTAGACCTCAATTGCATTTTCAAACATAAATTATCAGTAGCACAAGACAAGAACGTCTTTATAATCAAACAATATACTTGCAGCAATTTGCTTAGATCTTCTCTCAGCAGAACTTTATCATGGTATAGCAGATGGCTACAGGTTTCTTGTACTAATACCGACACAGGAAAAAAATTACCTAATTATTTCGCTATATTACCTTACCTTAACTTACTCATTTATTACCTGAAATGACGCCTGTGGTATTACAGAACTGACACGACCTTCAAAATCTGCAAGAAAAAGCGAACCCCTTAAAAGACCAGAACCCACTTGCAACTTCTGTGTGTCTGGGTAGCGCAGATCAGTTACCACTATCCGATATCAATCCGCTCGTTTGACGCTATGTCATAGACATAAAAAGGCGCGGTCCCATAACTATAATGAGACATACTAAATTGACTAAAAATCGCTGGTTACTCTGGCTCGAAACTAGTAGAGCTTTTCTCAGTACATTAACGTGCGCCCGTGATTTTTAGTTAACCACCCTTTTTGATATCATTTCAAGAAGATAATTTATTAACTGGCGAGTCTGTACTGTACAGTATGCGGTGGTTCGACATGACGAGCTGAAGATCGAGCTCGGTGACCATTGGAGCATTGTTGGAGAGGTTTTGCCAGAATGCACTATGTACTATGAGTTTAGAAGTAACTAGCGTACAATATTATTATTAATGTTGGTTTTCATCTAAACAAAGGTAGGCAACCTCTGTATAAATGACTTCGTGTATAAACTTAATCTTAATTTACGTTTGCAATGTATGCACGTATGCACAACATTATTTAGCGCTTGAAGCGTTTTCGAAGCATTTGTCAACCAACCTCAAAAAAAGAGGAGGTTCTCGACTGTATGTTTTTTTTTTGATAACATAAATGCCAATTTGGAAACTTTATAGGTCATTATGACTTGGTTTTAGCAATTCAAAGTGATTTTCGAAATCATTTGCAATAACACAATACCTGAAGATGTATTTTTATAACATAATTACTTTTAAATAGAGATTAATGACACTCTTTTCTAATGATTGCCTCGTCGGTCAAGCGGTAGCTAGTGCAAACCCTCAAACACGCTCAGTGCTCAGTAAAAACCCTCAATCACGAAGGTTAGGTTATTATTCTCTGGTTCTTAAAATAATGTTATAGATATATGGTGACAGGTTCACCGACTGAGTAAAGAAATGTAGGTTAATTATACATTATTATTCTTAAGAGTGTTAGTTCGGGTGTGGTATGGGTACGCTGCAGGGGTGTAGCTAGCGCCGTATCTGCCGTATCAATTATACGGGGCCCCCGGACTACAGGGGTCCCCAACGTGCCTAAGCAAAAATTAATAAAAACTTTCCATTTTTTATTATATTTCAGTAATCGCAAAAGTCAAAATAAACGTTTTTTTCCACGTAAAGCATGCATTCAAAGGTTGGCAGAAACTTAAGAAAAATAAAAGTAATTAAGGTCGGCTAATTAGGGCGGAGTTGCCTAAAAAGATTTTTGGTTTTCACACAAATTATAAGTATTTTGTGTAAAAAAATGTTTTGTGAGTAATGTTTAGGTACCCTTCAAGGGCCCATAAACAATTTTTATATGCCCCCCCCCCAAGGTACGCTACGCCACTGGTACGCTGGTTCTGATACAACTACTAAAGATATGATAGAACAAAGAAAGAAAGAAAATAACTTAATTTCACGTTAAAAAACAAGTGATATGTACAGATGTGTTATTCTATTAGTAGGTACTGATGGATACATGTTCATGTTCCAGGTCTGCCGTGAAATGGGACCTTCAGCATGTGCGAGACAGGACCCTGCACTGGTATATGTGATTTCAGTAGGTTTATTCTTCTTTGGGTTTAACCCCCATTAAATAAATCTCATAATCAAAACTGGTGAAATGTCGGCGTTACTATAAGTATGTGAAACCTCTTTTTCGGGGATTAAAAATTAAACTGTGAGTTATCCAATGTTAGAAATAAAAAACCTATAATGTATGTATATACGTTTGTATGTGTGTATGTGTGTGTATGTATGTGTGTATATATGAATTATTAGTACTTTATTTATTTATTTTCTTAGTACACAACCCGTCTAAATATTTCTTTTCATTATATCCACCCAAAGGTTGTCTGGTAAAAATCACTATAAGTGATAAGACTGCATTTGTACCCATTACTATTTTTATTTATGTTTGTTTTTTCCTTTTCTGTAGGTATGTACTATTTTATTAATGGTGTACAATAAAGTTTATTCTATTCTATTCCATTCTATAATTGGCGCAAATTTTGTGTAATCACTAGAACCTACCTTTTAGGGAGATAACAGGCCTAATGCCCAAATAATTTTTGAACCAAAAATTAGAAAGGCCGTTCTTCTTGAATATATTATGTACTTGACCCCACAATCCCCTCCATCTAAACTATACAATACAAGATCAACAAGCTCTTCATTTTTTTTTACCGGAGTTTAATTTAAAAATTATCTTTAATTTCACCCTAATGTATATTATCGTAAGTATGTAAAAACAACTTTATTTTTCTGATGTTACACACATAAAAATGTTTTATTTTAGTGTGTGTAATATTAGAAAAGAGTCCTTTGAATAGCCTCGACTCAAGTCAAATGTTGATTTTTTAAATGCTCTCGCACTTTGTTGCTTGTTACCAGTAGACGAGAGACGTGTGGGTTTGGCAATAAAAAAAAATAAAGTTCAAATATTCATGGACATCTTAAACCCTTTATTAAAAAATATCTCTTTTTATTAAAAAATAATCTACAAATCTGTGGATTTGACTTGATGCGTCAAGTCTACATCTAAAGTGTATGTTAAAAGTGATACAAAATGTTGGTCGAATTAATATTACTAGTAGCCATACTCCTGCTGATACAACAACGTTGGACAAAGAGGGATATATATAAGTTGGGGGAACAATTGAATTCTGGAATAAGGACATTTCCACTTATTGGACACATTTATTTGTTCGTCGGTGATAATGTAAGTAAGTATTAACTATGATTTTATTTATCAGTCCGAAAAGGTAATGTGAATGTAACATTCATTTGAATTTAACTTTATTATCTTTTGAGAAATTAATCAAATAGACGTGTGTGCTAAGTATCAAATCATGTATAATAATATCCCGATTTTGGTTCTAGAATCATTGTGAAACGCATCATTTAAATTTAGTTTTTTTGACGTACCTTTGTGCTATATGGTCTCACCCCGTTCACTAACTGGTCTTAGGGTAATTTACAACATCTTCCACTACGCCAGTACAAACTAATTTAGAATAGAATTATTCCACATGACTTTTCAAAACTCAAAGATATATCTCGACCGAGTAAAAGCCCTTATGTCGAATCTGGGAATAATAAAAAAAAATAAACTTCCCTTTAAAAAAGTTACGGATGAAAAACTGATAAAACTCATTAGGTACCATATTTTTGCAAATATTTCTTTTTTTGCGTTGATAATTAATCTTTAGGTAAAGTACTGATTTTTACACGTAGTCAATGTTATTTCTTTCCACGAAAAACTACTATATGAGGAAGGTTCTTTACAGAACCTGACCGCATAAATGATTTTGTGGTTAATTTTATTTTAACATAACATAACATCACGCCTTTTACCTCCGAAGGGGAAGGCAGAGGTGCACATTATGCCATTGTACAATGTCACACCCACTTTTCACTATTTATGTTATAAATTATATTATTTTCACTATTTATATTAAATAAATTGTGCAATAGGCTCACCACCTATTGGTGGTGAGCCATTTGCCATATATTGCCATATACCGTGCACAATTCCAGAAACCGTGATGTTACTTAGATTTTTTTAAATAAATTTAATTTTTTATGGTTATTACCTTTAAGTGCCTATTATAAACTATCCTTTCATAATTTTAGTTAGATTTCCCCGTCTTTTAAACAATAGGCATGTTTGTACTATTTTTCATTTCGAAACCAATGTGATGTTAAAGTGGAGCGAAAATGAGATTCGTAGATTTTTTAAATAAAAAAACCAATGTCTGATAGTTGTTTGTGAAAAATAAAGGTTATTTACGTTATCACCGAAAATATATTTATAATGTTCGTGAAATGGCTACTTACAGTAATTAAAATTGTCACGAAGGGTTTTTTATAAATTTAAATCGTTTTGCCTCTGTAAAAATGAAAGTACGTTTTATTCTTAACTAGCTATTATATATTATATCATATATTTATTATACCCGCGACTTCGTCCGCGTATAATAATGACCTCTGGAAAATTTTGAATTTTTAAATAATCTTTTCCAAGGTTAATTACAATGGTATCATATCGATTCAATCGTATTTATTGTGAAATGTTGTTCATTTTAATGATTTCAAAGAATATACAATTCCACAGGTATTTTCCCCGTATAGTATCCATTCACGTGAGGTTTCAGTGATGAAAACTCCATTTGAATTCCAATCAAATAGGTACAACGGTTGAAAATTCTCATGCGTCGTTTTCCGAATCTCAAACTATCGTCGCGTCATTGTACCGAATTCAATGGTTTAAAAAATATGGAGACCGAGAAGATTAACGCAATTCCTGTTACGTGGGTTTTCCGGGACAGAACAATGATACGTCCTTTCCAGTGCAAGTGTCTCAAACTCTCGTTGAACCGTATTTCAATTAAATAGGTTAATAATATTATTATTCAGCCTCTTTGCATAGGTACCTTAATGTTTTTTTTTGTTTTCTTTCTTCTTTGGCAACCGAGTACACCTTAATGTTATATCATGACAATAAAAAATAAAAAATTGTCAATCATCCATGAAACTTACTTGTCAAAATGTCAGATAGCATCGAAATGTGTACTCAATATTATGAACATGTGCGTGTATGTTTGTTTTGTTAGAAATTGACGTGATTTTTTTGTTGAGTGGAGATAGTTGAAGGGATTAAAAGTCGCATAGGCTACATTTTGTTTCTTTCTAACCCACTACTTCACTAAAACAGGGGATGGAAGTTTGTATGGAGAATTTCGTAATTATCAAGAAACCTAAAATTGGTACTTATCACATTTGTGACCAACAAAACATCGGATACCAAAATTTTGTTATCTTATGTAAACCTGCCCTCAATAGTTTAAAAGAGCGCGAGCGAAACCATGGGCAGAAGCTAGTAACATTAAGGGAAAATGATTCGACTTTTATAATTATGTTCGCTTCGAGTTTTCATTATTTTTAAGATGTATTCCGAGCGGAGACAAATCCGACGAACCAAAAACCATGAAATTTGGTCTAGCCGATCTCGAGTTATAAGTGTTGGAATAAACCCGTCTTTCTTTTATATATATAGATTTTACTATATTAGTTTATAAGAAGACCTATTTAAAGTTTTAGGACAACCCGCAAAGCATAAAATAAAAACTAAAAAAATAAGATGAGTTTTACAAGTTGGCTGACCACACTAAATACATTTCAATTTTCAATAATATACTTTAATATTGTACTAATTTACATTACAACGTCGTTTCAGGACTAATGAAAGCCTTCCACGTGGTTGGCTTGGATGCATTGAAAAAGGAAAATGGCTTGTCATCACTCTGGTTTGGAAACTATTTGTATACCAGTAAGTTTTTTATTTAGGAAAACTAAACAAGGCGTCTAATTTTTAAGTGATTTTTTCACAATTTGTCTCAATATTACAGTTGTTGCTGATCCTGAAGCGGCAGACACAATTTTAAAAAACATTTCGGAAAAGGATGACATCGTTAAATTTGCTTCAGATTTTATTGGAAATGGTTCAATATTTGCCCCAGGTAAAAATATATATTTACGTAAACTTATCTCATTTGTTATAAAGATCAAAATTATTATAAAAAAAATACTTTCTTGCAGTACCGATTTGGCGGCCACGTCGCAAAGTATTAATACCGATGTTTAGTATGAAGAATTTAAAATATTTTTCTACAATATTTGCAAGTGAAAGCCAAATCCTGGTTGAGGAACTTGGAAAAACCGTTGGAAATGGTCCAATTCCAGTATTTAAATACATCTCCGCTTATACGATGGATTCTATTGCGCGTAAGTTTGTAAGAGATGACAAGTTATGTCGGACTAATATTGTAGCCCAGCCCAGCGGCCAGATATGTGTGCACCTGAAATGTTCACATTGTATGGCATGGACAAATTAGCATCAACTGTAGTGTACGCATTGCGAACAAACAAGTGCGCACATGTCTGGCGATGGCATTAGAAAAATAATATTCATTGATATTTTTCCAGAAACTGCCATGGCTTATAAAATGCATGCCCAAAGGAATTCTGATCACTTTTTCTTGAAAGGATTTGATATGGGACTCAATAGCGTAGTTGAGCGTATTTATCAGCCATGGCTGCACAGTGATACGATATACAAGAATCTTCCACGGTATTCAACGTTAATGAAGCATAAGAAGTTGCTATGGGACTTTATACTTCAGGTAACCCGAAGTTTGCATTGATGTAACTTTAAAGCAATTAGACTATTGTTTGATGAAGCTCTAACTTTAAATGTAATGATTTCAGTTGATTAGAAATAAACGAAAGGAACTTGAAGAAACCAACATGACCCGGCAACAACAGGAAAGTAAGTATAAGATGACTTTGAATGTATTAATTGAATATATTAATTAAATCTAGTTACCTGGTTGTTTCGGAAGAAAATCATCTTCAAAAGAAGGTCGTTCAATATGATTCACTATTTAAAAATTTAAATCTTTTCTGTCGGTTCCATTGTCAATATGAACATAATTATATTCATAAACATAATTAATAACGACACTAATAGTGGCTGATATGTCATCGTCTTTAATACTAATAAAGAAAAAAAACTTATAATACAAGGCGGAATGATACATAAGTTCAGAGTCAAATAAGGCCTTTATAAAAAAGACTATTAATATTCTAGACCCATTTTTATATGTTTAATAGAATAAATAAATAATTGAATATTTATAACTTCTGTAAAGAAACCTTACTTTAAAAATATGCACAAACCTTGACTAAAGGTAGGAATTCGTTGAAGTAAGCAAATACCGAATATATTATAGGTTAATAACATAACCTAATGAACACAGGGAATAATACGGGTTGGTTATTTTAGATTCTTCAGATACTGTCCATAAGACGTTTTTGGAGAGCCTTATAAAATTGTCTGGTGGTGATGATGGGTACACGGATGATGAAATAGTAGAGGAACTGATGGTGATCATGGTGGCTGGTACTGACACCTCAGCAGTCGCAGTCTCCTTCGTGATTTTGCTACTCTCCAGATATCCCGAAATACAGGAGAAAGTTTTTGAAGAGTGAGTGTTATTTAACTCGTCGAGTACTATTTATAGACACAATTAAAGAACAATAGGTTGCGGTCACCGGTGACCGCTTGGTGTTTGACAGTTTAAAAACGTTTATAGATATAAAAAAACCGACTTCAAAAAACCAAAAACTAATAATAAACATAAAAGCAAAGAATAACTATTATTATTACTGATACATACATAAGTTCTATACAAAATTATTGATTAAAACTTTATTATATGAACTTAGGTATGGCATCGACTTCTAACCCATCAGTGAGTGGGTAACCTATCAGTACTAATAATACTTATTTTTTGCTTTTTAATTTTGACTTTTTGTTTGTTATTAGTTTTTGGTGTTTTGAAATCGGTTTTTTAAACGCAGTTTTTATTTTATTATTTTCAGTGTAAGGCCCTTAACAATTACACTTCTTTATCATCAGAGCCTTAATGACAGCCCCATTAACAAAAAAACAATCAGCAGAACATGGTACAGGATGTACGGGATGTTAGATGTACTATGTTTGGCTAATTGTTTTGAAGTTGGTAATAAAAAGAGTATTTTCGGCTAATCATTTAATTAGATAGTTTGTAATTATTCATCTCTTATGTGTAAAGATTATATAAGTACTTGAAAGAAAAGTGTAAGCAACTAATTAATTTTTTAAACAGATTACAAGAAGTATTCGGAGACTCAGACAGGTTGACCACCTTCGAGGACCTGCCTCGACTGAAGTACCTCGAAGCAGTGATCAAGGAGACACAACGGTTATACACCACCTCACCGATTGTAACCAGGAAAGTGGATAAAGAACTTTTATTACGTAAGTATTAAAATTCAAAGTATTTGCATGAAATTTTAAATAAAGGCCAAATTAAAAGTACCCTTAACCAACGAGCATGCATAACAATTAACAGGACTGTTGATTGTAGAGGAACCGAAAGTTTGTAAGAATCGTAGCCATTGGTGTTCTATAGTCTCTGCCTACCGCCATGAAAGACAGGTTATGTACCTATGTATGTAAATTTTTGCATCCCGAGAGCTCTACTAGTTTCGATCCACAGAGGGGTTCTTACTTTCCTTTTTGCATCCTAATAGACAGTTTACGAAGTTTTTGAGGAGTAACCCTTGACAGTGACGGTACACATAAGTTTGTAGTCTAGAGTGAATGAAGATTAAACGTTTGTTAAAAAAAAAATACAAATATATGTATGACAAATTATTTCAAATGTTGTGAGAATTGAAAGCACACGCGGTGGCCCACATTATTATGTAGGACATCCAATAAAAAAGTAAATTACTGATGACGTCGAGAGGAAAATAAAGTCCCAACCTACAAAAACATCATGCCCTGTTCCCTAAAGCTGAGATAAACGATCAGACGAATGTATTTTGAAACTTTTTGTGTGAAATAAATAGAGTAATCTAACTCCCAGTTCGTCGTCCACATTTTCAAGTTCATCATCAACAGCCTATGAATGCCCACTGAGCAAAGCCTCTTCTCGCACGAAGAAGGTTTAAGCATTAGGTAATCACCACGCTTGCTCAATGCGGGTTGGCGATTAAAAGACTTATAATTAGAAATTATAAGCACAGGTTTCCTCACGATGTTTTCCTTCACCGTTTGTCAGTGGTGTCTAAATAATCTTAGAAAGTACATATAACTCGGAAAAAGTCTCATCATGGTACTTGCCGTTGGTAGGTTTCAAACCCGCACCCATGAGAAGCGTCTTAAACCTCCGGGCCACCACATAAAGTTTTCAAGTTCATCAGAACAATACTAAAAGTGACAATTTTTTTACTTGATACTGTTATATTATATTGCCAAACTGATAAAAAATAACATAGCTGCTTGCTTAAAATAGTTTCACATGTTCACAGCCTGTGGTATAAAGCTGGTGCCTGGCACTGGTATCATGATCAACATCTGGGCTTTACACCGTAACCCTCGTTACTGGGGAGACGACGCAGACCAGTTCCGACCTGAACGGTTCCTTAACCTGGATCTCAAGCACCCAGCTGCCTTTATGCCATTCAGTTATGGACCTAGGAACTGTGTTGGTAAGCATTCAAATCAAGTTTCAATTTCATTTCGTCCTTAATGTTACAGAAAATGCGATTAGTCCAAGATTTTGTTAGGATTATTTTCTCTTATATCTCCTTGTCACCAGCAAATGTAGTTTCACTATTTTGTGGGCATTGTCACCACCGTCAGTACGTTTACGCCATTTACCTAACATATACCTACTTCTCCAGTAGCATGCCACTGAGCTCTATGTTTAATTCTTGCATCCAATCACTGCCAGTTACTTTGTGGATCCCCCGAGGATGACAGGAGAGAGACTCTGGATGCATATATAATTTACCGTAGAAGTCCTGGTCTATACCAGGTTCATTATTTATTACCTCTTATTAGATGTCTTTGGTGACAGTAGAATTACTGGCTTAGAGGCAATGACCTTTGTATTTGACGTGATCCTCTTCGTCTGAGCACTTCCATCTTCAATTGAAAATTGTATTATATATATTATTTTTACAGGTTATCAATACGCTATGATATCGATGAAGACGGCGTTATCTACGCTACTAAGAAGATACAAGATCCTGCCTGCCACCAAACCTAACAGTAATGCTGAGTTCCCACCACTGCGCCTCAAGTTTGATCTTATGATGAAAGATGCAGACGGTTTCCAAATATGTATCGAGCCTAGATCAAAACGAGCTTAAATAAATTAGATTTAGATTAGTTTCTCATGAGTCAGTAAATATATCTACTATTGCGGTTTTCTTCGTATATTATTCGTATATTTATATTTCAACTAAAAGGTTTTTTTGTTAATTATTTGTGATGTTATAAATATAAGTTTACTGGTATTACTTATATTTGTTTTTGTGTGGGTATCGCTGAAAGTAAAATTTTATTTTATAAAATTGTTCACAATTATATAGCTATTTTATTCTTAACTGCCACAGACATTGTAATTATCATGATTAGCTGCCTCATTGGCCAACTGGTTGCAAGTGCGACTGCCGGGCAAGGGGTCTTGGGTTGGATTCCTAGATCGGGCAAAGTATTACTGAGGTTTGTAAATAATTATCAGTAGTAGCACGGAGTTTGGAATTGTGCCCGGTATGTGGCAATAGGCTCACCCCCTATTACATGGGAGTCATAACATAAATAGTGAAAAGTGGGTATTACATTGTACAGTGGCATTAAGTGCCGTAATGTGCACCTCTGTCTACCCCTGTTATCCACAGGCGAGATGTTATGTTATGTCATGATTAGAAAATATCAAAAATATGAATTACCTTTTAACTTTTCTGTAACACGTAACTTGTAGGTATCATCTGATGATAAGCAATCGGCGCCACCTATGGATACTGGCAACTCTAAAACCTTTTAAAGATAGGGAATTTGGAGGTTGAAGAAGTAGGGAGAGGGATACAATACCTTCAGGCACTCGACGAAATACAACGTAATCACATTTTCATACTAGCTTTCTGTAAGGACATGATATCAGTTTGGGCGATCCGTTCATAGCGAAGCATGGCACTCACACATATGTATAACGCAAATTCATATTATAAATAGCTTCTACCCGCGACTTCGTACGTGCAATCTCGGTTTGTTCCGTTCCCGTAGGATTTTCAGGACTTTCCTCTGTCATAAGAACGTTCTCCTGACAATAACAAACACATCAAACAACAGCCAAATCGGTCTAACCGTTCTCCAGTTATGGCGTGACAACGGGAAACGGGTTTCATTTTTAAATATATACTAGCAGACCCGACAGACGTTGTCCTGTAATAATAAGTATAGATAAATAACCTAGACACCGACTGCAGTGCCATCTGTCGGGCTGATTTGTGAATCTAAATCACAGATCCCCTTGAACACACACAAAAAAATTCATCAAAATCGGTCTAGTCGTTTGAGAGAAGTTCAGTGACATACACACTCACAGAAGAATTATATATATAAAGATAAATGTTTATTGGGAATATAAATAAATTGACAAAGAGCAACGTGTTTTATTTTTCACAAATAAATAATCCTTCTGTAACCTTACAAACATGGCTTTCTGTTAGGCTGTGGTATCACTCTGTTGGAGCCAGGCCTTACATGCATGGCTATTTCACGTATGAAATTGACGTTTCATTACTATTTACACACAGATGAAATACATATATATACATAGCAGCTGGTGGGAAGAATGTTTACATTAACACTTAATTCTAGGTTCTAAACGTATTTGGAAGTTGTTTTCATCTTTCATCATGAGGTCGAAGGTAAGTCGAAGAGGAGGGAAGCTACCGTCACTTGCTACAGCTGGCAGGAACTTGAAGCGTCGCAGTACCGTCGACAGTACTGTTTTCATTGACAGCATTGCATATTGGTAACCTGGAATACATAGAATAGTATGGAATAGTTATGCATAGTATTTAACATATCCCAGGAGTCGACATCCGTCTAATGATTAAGGATTAAAAGCTAAAGTTCCCTCCGAAGTTTGAAGTCTTTATTTAGGTACTTATTTATTTAATATGATTCATGCACAAAGTGTACATAGGTGGACTTAATGCCGCGGGCATTTTCTTCCAGTCTGACCTTTGGTGATGCAGAGAAGAGTAATTGGTAGGTACAAGAGGCAAGCAATGATTTTATTTGACAAAATGAAGATGAACTTGTATATTTCAGAGATGTACATAAATAAATATAATTATAATATATAACTACACAGGAGTACAATCCAATATACATATTTATATATACATAATTTATGTATTAAATGTTTTCAAAAGCTAACCTGCACAGTTTCTGGGTCCGTTGCTAAAAGCCATGAATGCAGCGGGATGCTGGAGTGGTGTGTCAAGGAACCGTTCAGGTCGGAAATGCTCCGCATCATCTCCCCAGTAGCGAGGGTTGCGATGTAAAGCCCAGATGTTGACCAAAACTCCGGTTCCAGGTACGAGTGTGATGCCCGAGGCTTAAAAATACCAATATTCGTTTTTTTCTGACTACACGTAAAAAAAGCTAATAAAAAAATCATAGATAGTTACAAATTTTCTTAATAGTCTCAAATATTGGGCACCGTGCTTCATTAAGAGGAGAAGGAACCTAGCCTACCTAGTGTAGTTACCTTCATTTTTGAATATCACACAATGTTTAATTGATAGAGAATACCTACAATCCTTACTAATATTATAAATCGGAAAGTGAGTTTGTTTGTTTGTTTGTTCCGATTTCACGCCGTAACTACTAAACCGATTGTATTGAATTTTTGCAGACGTAAAGTTAGAAGTTTCGATTAAATAATAGGGTACTTTTTATCCCGGAAAAAATTGATATTCCCGAGGGAAAACGAAAGTATTAGTATATATGGCGCTGTATGTATTGATATATGTTACATAGGCTACTTTTTATCCTTTTATGACGCGAGTGAAGCCGCGGGTAAAAGCTAGTTTAAAATAAATGATTAATCTTACGCAACTGCACATGATTTTCTACTTTTCTCACGATTATTGGCACTGGTGGGTACAGTCGCAGTGTCTCCCTGATCACTGCATCGAGGTACTTCAAACGAAGCAGGTCTTCGAAGGTGGCCAGCCTGTCTGAGTCACCGAATACTTCTTGTAACCTGTTGATGAATTAAATTATTACAATTATATTGGTTATGTGCGCAACATTTGTTTGGGATCTGAGATTTGTTGCCATTAATATTCCGTATTTTCGTTTTTAATAAAAAGCGCTGCCGATAAAAGCCACCCCCAATTTTCAAATCCACATCAGTTGTATAATCTTAAATTGATTTTCCGTGTAGCCGACCTTTTACCAAAGAGAACCCAGAAGCAAATCAATCATCTTTAGTGAACGAATGTCCCATAACGTTCTTATACTATCTTACTACTTTGCTCATCTATACCTATAAAGTTCATAAAAAAAAAATACCACTCACTCTTCATAAACTTTCTCTTGCACTTCTGGATGCCTCGAGAGTATCAACGATATGAAAGATGTTCCAACAGCAGAAGTGTCATTTCCAGCTACCATGATAACCATCAGTTCTTCTACGATTTCTATATCTGTGTATCCATCGTCTCCTCCTGATGATCGTATTAAACATTCCAAAAATGTCTGAATATTTCCTTCTGATGAATCTGGAAAAAAATTATATTTATTTACCTTACTTGTATTTGTCTTATTTTCATAGCAATACTTATCATTATGTATGTGTTGTTGCAGTTAGTCGTAGTTTAGGAACTCATATTATTCAGTCTTAGTGTGTGCCACTTACTGTCAGTGCCTTCACGTTGTTTGCTGTATTTAATTTCTTTTCTTTTAGCCTTGATTAACTGCAAGTAAAAGACTTGTTAATGAATTTTACTACATATTTGATGGGCTGCCAATGTTTCTTTTATTGGACGTATTTACAGGTACTTTTACCTCAATCATGAAACCCCATAAATATTCCTTAAGTTTCACCAGCCTTGCGTACACTGGCAAACTGTTATAAATCAAGTCACTGTGTAACCACGGTTGGCACAGGCGTTCTGCGCATTTCGGAAGTCCATAGTTAAATGCTTTTAAGAAAGGATGGTCTGAAGACTTTTGGGCGTCCATTTTGTATCCTAAAGTGGATTCTGGAATGTAAGAATCATAATATTTATATTACAACAAAATTTTTCAAAATTGTTCTGAGGTTGTGACCTCAAATTAATTCTAATATGATATTGGACTCGTCTCGGTGCTACTTATGAAACTCCTTTTTGTTATTATAAAAAACAGATTAAAAGATGATAATGATTTTGATCCGGAGCTGCAGATAAACTGACGGAGGAATAAGGACGGGGTGGTTTTTGGTCATTAGAGTCTGACACTCTCTCCCGTATCACCCAAGGCTGGAAAAATCATTGGATAATTTTCGTGCCTCAAAAAAGGTAAAGATCACCATCATAATTTTATGGAATGTATGCATATATCTTCTTGCATCTGTATATTGTATTTTTTTTAATGGGACAAGCCCGCCACATCCTCCCAAAACCGCTGCAACTCCTGTAAGCCAGGATCTCCATTAGATACAACCATGAAAACAACAGAACGCTGAAGTCCGGCGCGTCCCAGGGACACGAATAACTGTCTTGTTTCCCGTAACGAAGTGAATCAGAAGATATTATAAGAGGAGAAGAAAAAAAAAACGATAGTTTCCACTTCTCTATAATATCAATATCAAAGTGTATATTGAAATTTTGATACAATTACCAGCAATAGCGTCCATGGTATAAGCGGTGTAGTGTTTAAAGGCCGACAGTGGACCAGTCTCAACCACTTTTCCTAACTCCTGCACAAGTATGGCGCTGTGCCTTACAAATATTGTCACGAAAGATTTCAAGTTCTTCATGTTGAAAGTTGGCACTAAGACCTTACGACGAGGTCGCCATATTGAAACTGCAAGATTCAAAAATAATCTTATTTATTTATAGATAGAACATGGAAGACTTACAGTTCATAAAAACATCAATAAGCGCAGTAATCAGTATCAGTTAGACAATGTGTGTTTAGAATTTAACATTTGAATTGATCTTTGATCGTAGGGCTTAATACTACTGATAAAGTTCAGCAAATATACATATAAGCTGTGGATACAAATGCTAGTGCAAAGTTAGTAGGTACCGAATAAAGTGTATGAGTACATGGTACTATGTAGATATCGAATACTACCTACTAATATTATAAATTCGAAAGTTTATGAGTATGTATGTGTGTGTGTGTGTGTGATTGTTACTCTTTGATATTAAAATGGCTGAAGGTATTGAGATGGAGTTTGGAACAGAGGTACAGGATGGTCTGTAATAACATATAAAGAATACATAGGCTACTTTTTATCACACGGGTATGCGTGAGAAACCGCTGATAGTTTTACCATACAGTCGTCATTGCAATTATTGGCTTAGAGTATATCAAACAAGAGAAATCACAATATTAAAGGTTACTTTATTTAAATTGTATGTGGTGCACGAATTAAATAGATTTTATTGTAGGTATTTAAACATTCCAAGGTTATAATCTTTATTTCTAAAACCAGCTAATTCTACGCGATTTCAAAATTGTGTGTGACGAGAGTTGTGACGCACGAAACAAAATAGGTTGTATTGTAGGTATTTAAGCGTTTCCAAGGTTATAGCCACCAGCTATTTCCACGCGATTTTACAGACAAACAAATATACCTGCAGCTTGATAATATTAATACCTACCTATAGATACAAAACTTTCAAATATAAAATCCACGTGTTGCAAGTTTCATGAGACAGACATATTAACGCATGCGTCGATGGTTTTTTTATGTCCTAAAGGTCAAAGTTAAACTTGTGGCCTATGTGTTAATCTAGATCATAATCTTCCCTTATTCTAAATAAAAGAAATATAGGGTGAACTCATCTAACTTCGTAACAAAGGCATTTGAGTAATAAAATACCAATAAATTATTAATTAATTTAATTCAGTCTCCGCATGAGTTTTAATCAGTCTTTTATGAGGAATATTAGCACAAATAATCAATTTTTTTTTCTAGAAACCTAAGAGTTCTACCAAATTTACTAAACCGAATTATTAGGCGAGTCACAGAATTAGATGAGTTCACTATACACACGAACTCTTTGCATTCATATTTTAAGAGAAGTAATCACCATCGTTATTTACTCACCAGGAGCGAATATACTGCCTTTTCCAACAAACAGTGTAGCCATTTGCATTATATCATCTTTCTCGAGACAAGTCTTCAATACTATCTCCGCAGCCTCAGGGTCTACTATCACTGGAATTATACATATTAATTTATTATGTTTTTTGTCTTACTCGTAACTGTTTGACAAGGAATTCGACTAGTTTCAAGCTATGGTAGGGGCTCAAATTCATGAGCAACGTTCCGCGACACACGAAGCGACGACTGTCGTCCTCAAATAGTTACGTAATACGTTTTACGTTTCATAATATGTCTCATGAAAGTTATAATATAAACTGTAAATATATTTTAGGAGGAACATAATATGGTGAAACTAGATCTTATTGTATGAAAATACAATAATTGTAACGAAATAGGTACGCATTTATTTCGTATGTATAATGTAATTTTGAATTTTGAAATTTTATTTTATGTAACTAATTTTGTCGTATTAGGCTAAGTACCTGTGAAGATTAAATTAGCTGTTTTTTGATATAAATAAATAAATAAATAAATTACACTGCTGGACTTTGGGCTTTCTTTGCATAATGTCTGAACCTAGCAGTGGGCGGATATCACAGTTTAAAAGGTCTATTGTAGAATGTAGAATGCTGCTGAAATGTTTCTGTTTCTGCTGTAAATAGGAATAGAGCCTATTTGAGAAGATTATAAACTTATAATTATAAATTATAAGCCCAGGTTTACACACGATGTTTTCCTTCATCTATAAATATACCTAACTAGTATGTTATACGTTATAGTAGGTAGTTATACTTTATAGTTAATAAAAGTTACTAACTTTTTGTCTCTTTATTGTTTATCGAATTGAATAGCATATAAATATATAAACCCTATGTAAATAAAAGGGAATCATTAACTAGGTCTAGATCGGAGAAAGGTTATGTCCCCCAGTGCAACCCTTTTGCAATTTTCGCATTAGGAAGTTTGTTTTGTACTAAGTTACTCACTTGTATACAGATAATTTCCCTGCCACGCCGGGAACAAACCATTATCATTCTTTAAAGCATCTCTACCAAGAATTTGTAATGCTTCCATTCGTTCTAGAAAAACAATAAAGTCATGATAAATTCAGAATCGTATAATTTAATTTAAATTAATTTCACACAACTTTCATTTTTACCAAATGTACTTACTGTGGTTGTTACCCAAAAACAAATAACTGTGTCCAATCAAAGGGTAGGCTTTTACTCTGCAATTCAACTGTTTACCTAACTTGTACACTTCTCTCCTAGACCAACGGTCATATAATAATAACACTATCACTAAAAATAGTAACAATTCCACCAACATGTCGCTTGTATAAAGAATACTCAAATACTCAATAATTTGTTGATACCCAAATATATATTGACGTATCCAGAACTATTAAAAGCTTAATTAATAGACTAAAATATTAAAAGGAAAAAAAACTATTGTGAACGATGAATTCAATGATTTAATAAGCCGAAATTATTGTTTTCCATTTTATATTATTACAGATTAAGTTAAAACCAGCTGTTCTCAAACTGGTGAGAAATACATGATGACATAAGAGGTTTCCGTGTACTACAACTAAATAACCATAATGACCTATTATAACCTTACCATAATAAATTGACACTACCCATTACTGCATTTGACTACTGAGGTATTCATAGGCTTAGGGAAGATAATGATATGCCTTCGTTAAAAAGCATACGATTTGTAACAACTGACTCCACGTGCGAGAACCACGCTGTGGCACAAAATAAAAATAATAATAATAAGCCCGCAGGGCACCTTGAGGCGAGGTGACGGGCATTAGTGATCCCGCGGGCTACCATCATCCCGAGTGCTCCTGGGAGAAGTCACCGATCCTTCTTCTCCGGCTTGCCTTAATTGGCTGGCTGGAGTGAACGATGACAAGGAACAGGTCTCCCACCTCTGGCTTGCCTTCATTGGCCGTCCAGAGTGGAGTCGCGAGAGCAGTGAACCTGCTCGGAGGGTAAGAAACTATTCGTAAGTCGCGAGTGGGCCAGGGATGCAGGAGGCTTCGGCTGGAGCAGATGATCTGAGTAGAAAGCGGTGGTAGTTTCTTAACCCTTCAGCCACTCACATTCTCGTTGCCCCTCTGTTGCTATATCTAGCAACCATTTCCGGGGCCCGGTCGGTGAGTTGGCGAGTCTCCGCCTGCCATTTTTACGTGTAAAAATTACATTGTTTCGGCAGGTGCCATAGTCATCCATCCATCCATAGCCCTACCTTTGTTTTCCATTATTCACATATAATAATCCTACACTAACCGGGGACTGTCCTTGGGTGCATTTCCATAGTGCATACAGGGATAGTCGCCGGTTTGTGTCTCGATTACATTTAGATTAAAGTTGTCTAAAGGGCCTCTGCGCAGTTGGCTTCGGCCCCTCGTACGCCTCCCAAATGACCGGGACCCTGTGGTCCCGTGAATAGTAAAGACATACATAATAATAAATTTTTATTTGGAACAACATAGGAACCATTTTGTGTTAGTATGTGTCTTTTAAACTAAAATGGGTTAGCACAACCGTAGTAATACCATGTTCTCCCTTCCTTCTCCACTCCCGGAATCTCCTAATGTTCTCAAGATGGCAGCAACGTACTTGTAGCTCCTCTGGTACACCGGGTATCCATTGCTTATAGCAGTAAGCTACCCACCAATTACCATTATTGGTGATTCGTCTGTTCATTTGCCGCCTTATCCGATAAAAAACTATGTTTCTTTTTACCTCAGAATTATACATATTTTTAACATAACACGAATTGTTATATTGATGTAAAAAACTTTGAGAACCATTGCATAGGTGTTATATGAATGTATGATATGGCATTGAATATTTTTTTGTAATTTAATTACTTTATTTTTGACAATAACATCCAGATGTTTAATTGTATAAACACAATAATACTTACCTTTATCACACAGATTAGAAGTTAATATTTTTTAAACCATACAATTAAGTGAATTGTAATATTTTGGATTTTTAAACACTGTTTGCTGCTTAGGATGTTACTTGAGACCCAAGATGTTAAAAAAGGCTGCCAAATCAGTATATCTCAGAGCAAGAAACAATGTGGGAGAGCCAGAGCACGAATGAGCTGACTCAACCGTGAAACTACGCCCTCAAAGAAAACCGCAGTGAAACAATGTTTGCGTTGTGTTTCGCCGTGTGAGTGAGGCTACCAAATTGCCTAGTCTCTCAATTCGAAATATAGGCGACGCTGATAGCTTACCATCAGGTAATCCATCTGCTCGTTTACCCCTACCAAATGCATGGCATAATAAAATACGTAAGTTAGGCACCATAAAATATGATGTACTTATATTAGTAATTTTAGTATCTTTGCTGGGCACGTCGCATAGTTTTCTTACGTACCTAGTGCCCGTACTGATCGACATGGAAGTACAAATTGAGTAATAAGTATGAACCTAACGTATCATTTTGAAAATTACTTAATAAATGAAAAGGTTGATGCAAGCGTGTGTCCCTAGATATTATTATGATGTGTCATTTTACAAATAATACACTTAGGCCCATAGTAGTCAAGTTAGTTACAACTATAGTCAAATGATAATGGTTGCAAAAACAAAAAGATCTTTATGTTCTATTTTATTTTATATCAAGTCACTTTGCTGTCATTTGCTCAGCGACTGTACTAGGCGAAATCAATCGCGAATCTTAAGCCGATTAACCAAGAGCTAAGCTGCAGTTTAGCTTAGTTCACATAGCCGACGCAGTTTCCAATACATGTCCCATAGTTTGAGAGTTTGAAATCTGTAAACAATAGTTTAGCTCTTGGTCTGCAACCAGCTTTATCTTATAGTGTTTTGTTTAGCTGTAGTATAAGTAACCATAACGAATTGAAACTAGCCCCCATAATAACAAAAATGATAGTCATGAAATGAAATGAGCTTTCTACGACATACGTCTGGTCGTTATTGGTTAATAGGTACATTTTCCATACATGTTTGGTTGTCATCCTTTTTCAGACTTTTGACTTTTACATTTCTGAGACGTAAATTCAGTGTATGATTATGAATTTATTGAGAATGGTAAGTAATACATATAAAATTGAAAGTAAGGAATGTTTACCTGAGTAATATATCAAACCGGAAAACCATTGCTTACCAGTTAGATCCGATGATCCGACTGCAGAGAACCCTCTATAGTCGGATCATCATCATTACGCCGACTAGTTAGTCTTAATTATATTTGTTTATAATGTAAAATAATATTGGTTATCAGTTGTAATTAAAGAGACAAACAAAGTGATAAGGGGTGCTTCAAAACTAGAATATAGACTGATAAATTCAAACAATTATAATAACAAAAGTGCACTGAACTAAACCATTGCCATTTACAAATATTAAACATTTCATTTATTACTTCAGGAGAATATAAGAAAAGGTTTGACTGCACAGTTGGTGCGGTGGGTGGGCAACCGGCTGCCGCGCAACGTGTAGCAAGTTCGAATCCCACATGGAGCAACTCTTTGCGTGATCCACAAATAATTGTTTCGGGTCTGGGTGTCATAATTATGTATCATATTATTATGCACCCACAAAATAGAAGAAAATACAAGTGGGGCAAGATTTATTTAAAAAAAAAAGTAAAAGCGGTGCATTCGCTAGTTTACTTAATTGTTAACATAACATAACATTACGTCTTTTATCCCCGACGGGGTAGGCAGAGGTGCTGCACATTACGGCAGTTAACGGCACTGTACTATGTAACACCGACTTTTCACTATTTTGTTATAAGCCCCATGTATGTTTATGAAACAATTAAAACAAATTTAAATAATTTCTCAATTCGTAGGAACTTTTTTAATTTGATTTTTTAACATAACATAACATCACGCCTTTTTATCCCCGAAGAGGTATGCAGAGGTGCACATTACGGCACTTAATGCCACTGTATGTAGGTACAATGTAACACCCACTTTTCATTATTTATGTTATGAGTCCCATATAATAGTTGGTGATCATATTGTCATATACCAGGCACAATTCCCGACTCCGTGGTACTACTGAGATTTTTTTAAGACCCAGTTTTATTTTGCCCGACCCGGGAATCGAATCCAAGACCCCTTGCCCAGCAGTCGCACTTGCGACCACTCAGCCAACGAGGCAGTCTTCCCGAAATAGGTACCTTACCGGGTAAACTGAAAACTTCAATAATAAAACCAATGTATAAAAAAGGAGATAAAGAAGAAGTCAAAAACTATCGTCCGGTGGCATTGATACCAATTTTTTCCAAAATCATTAAAAAACCCATTCATTCGCGACTATATAATTTTTTAATATGAAGAACATATTGAGCAAAAGGGTTTCAGGAAAGACAAATATATCGCTATCCAACACAAAAAGAATTATTCAAATCAGACTTGTAGTTACGGAGATTCGATGATATATGACGATAGTTCCGTTCAAACAAACAAAAAACAAACTCTTCCGCTTTATATAATTGTATAAGATACTAGCTTCTGCCAGCAGCTTCGCCCGCGGTCCCAGGGGTAAAATGCCTATGTATCACTTCAGACCATAATCTACATCTGTTCCGAATTTTATTCCGGTCCCTTCACTCGTTTTAATATGACTGAGTAACAAACATACACAAAAACTCACATATTTTCATTTATAATATCGAGTCAAGCTAATTTCAACCATTGGCCTTTCAGTTACAGCGTAAAGTCTATGAATGAGTATTGTAAACGTTAGAGTAGACAAATACAATCAGAAATCACCGAATTGCTAAGCTATCTGGAGTTTCACGTGTTATTGTGAGTCAACCATAAAAGATAGGCATATGCTGTCGAGGAATATTTTTTATATAATTTTAAGGAGAATATTTCCGTCATACATGATTTCTATGCAGCTTTAACCTATAAGCCTGCACACGCGACGGAAGTTTAAAAAATGGAGTAACTTCTCCCGTTTTCCCAATATTTCCCTTCACTGCTCTGCTCCTATTGATCGTAGCGTAATGAAAAGTATACTATAACCTGCCCAAGAGTATGAAGAATACTTGTGCCAAATTTCGTTAAAATCCATCGAGTAGTTTTTGTTTCCATAACGAACATACAGACAGACAGACAGACAAAAATTTTACTGATTGCATTTTTGGCATCAGTAGCGATCCCTAATCACCCCTTGATATTAATTTTTTAAATATATTTTATGTACAGAATTTACCTCTCTACAGATTTATTATAAGTATAGATTACCTAAGGAAATCAAAGCACTAGAAAACCTCTTTTCAAAAAAAAAAGCTAAAGCAGTTTTTAATAACTAAATG